TTTCGGCGATGTTTTCAAAGATTGTCCGGCGGGATAGGAGTAGACTGCTGGAAGAAATCCCCTCGCGGAGAACTCATTTATGTCGCTGATAAGCTTAAAATGCGGATAAATGTGATAAAGATAAGAAGGGATTACTTCGAGAAAGAGAGAAAGAAAGTGAGAGATGAAAATTACTTTGTTTTCTTGTAGGTCTCGCAATCGAGGTATCTTTCGAAAGAGTCAAAGGTTTATCTGATTAGTGGCATTGTTTTAGTTTGATTATTACTTTGTATTGTGCAATTTAATTTCTTCCTAACCGACTAGAAATTCTCTCACGTTCATTATATGACAATTACGTAGCGACAACAATCACTAATGTGTGTGTTTCTTCTCCAAGCGCTTAAAAACTAAACAGTAATGGGAATATTGGGAATGAGAATACCGAAGTTACACAAGAAGATATTCACACCAGAAACTATTAAATAATTAAGAAACAATAAGTTCAAAAAGCGTACAAATCGTGAAGTTAAACGTACTAGAAGAATGCAAATTGTTTGTGAAGTTGATGATATGGTATTTTATGTATAACTATATCTAATAGTAAAGTTTGACTAACTAGTAAAGTTTGTTTCTACAATTTACTTGATATGTCACTCTATCCTTAATATGTTTATGTGCGATATTATAAGAAACTGTTAACAAAGAGTCAGTTGACGTTAATCACACTCTTGTTGTACACATATAAATTTTTAATTATGAAATTTGTGGATTAAAAACATTTTTTTTTTTTTTGCTATTGCGAAGAAATGATTACTGCGCCACTGAGATTGTTAGGAATCGAACTTGTTAGACAAAATACTTTTCTACATGCTTACGCCATTGGCCAAGCAGGGGGGATATCGTCATATCCCGGACGAAGACAGGAAACCTCCAAGTAAAATCCCCCTCCGGTCGTACGCACATATGCGTCAACGAGCATCGGCGTACGTTTGATTATAAATGAAAGCAGGAAAGAAGCGACGAGGCGAAAGTGGAGTGATGAAGGAGCTAAAATCGCGCGATCATCAGCGTGGGCGAATATTTCTCATCAATTACGAAAAGAGCGATCTGCGCTGAAAATCAATAAAACTTCAAGACGTTTAAAGATGCCGATAGGAATATTCATTCGAGTTATATGAATTGAGAACAATAATATTTTTTAAATAACAAAAAACTAAGTATCAATATTTTTGTTCAATATAGAAACGCTGTTATAATCTAGATTAGATTATAGATGTGTATCACAATCACGAACACTCACTGTCATTTTAGTACCAACCTGAAATCACATAAACGTCTTAAGCACGAAAGCAATAAATTACGAACATGCTAGATTTAACCCAGAAAATCGAAAATTGCGGCACGAAGTAGATCTCTAATTGGAGCAAATAACCCGCATGGCATTATAAAATGTTAAAGTCCGAGTGCACGCATGCTAGCTGCGGTCTAATTTCACGTGCGTGTACACCAAGCACATTTGAGATTCCGGAGGCATAGTATCCGTTTCAGTACCCTTAACATTTAGCACGTGACGTAACGCTGCGATAACTGTCTTTATCTTCCAGCTGTCAAGAAGATAAAATATCTTTTATTTTATATCTCTGGCATAATATTATTTGAACGATATTATTTTTATTAGGTACGTAAAAAAAAATGAGAAATAATTCGAACTATTTTATTCAAATTGAGAATTACAATCTAAATATTATAATATTGACTACTTTTCGGTGTATTTAAATTCCATCGACCATCATGAAAACTTTTCAGTTAAAAAGATATTTTAAAAATATTCAATCGAAGAGTACGTATAAGAAAAAATTAATTTTTGTAATATAAACTTGATAATTGTAAGAATAATTTTTCTCATAGAGCCTTATTAAATTTAAACTTGGTTGTTAATTTTTCTAAGTTATATGCAAAATAATGCAAAATCTTGCAAATATTGTATCTTCTTTGATATGATAAATTATCACATTCTCTCGTTTATTTTATGTTCAAATAAAACAAGCGATTCATAAAGTTCGTATATCGAAAGCCCACTTGCAATTTCTCTGATTTTCGCATTCACGCAGTTCATGCGTTTGGAAAATATAAATCATCGAACAAACGTTTAAAAGCGTTTTCCAATATCCGTTATGACATTTGTAGGAACAAGTTTGTCGATTATTACGCGTCAACGCATTAATCTCGCGTTATTTGATTTTTCTATAGTTTTCTGTTTTTTCAATTCGTCAACAATTGTACACCGCACATACCTAATCTCGGGGCATATTGTACATATATTAAATATCCTAGCGTTGAAATTATTAAAATAATGTTTCATATTAAGCTTAAAATATATATTTATCTTCTACTTCCTATCTAGGAAAGAAAAAAGACAAATACTTTTAATTATTTATTTATAATTATTTACAATAAAATGTTTCAGTTTTTATTACAAATGACTCTTCCACTTTATTATAAATTATTATAAATTATATAAATTATTATTATAAATTATTATACAAAAACAAATTATTCTCTTCACTTATTCATTTA